GGGATGCAAAGTAAAGGCTTTCACAGAGAGCAGCCAGTGTTACAAGCTGTGTAAAATCTTAGGAGTGGGAATTTACAAAAGGTGATTCCAGAGTCAGTTTTTTGTCAATACTTCCAACTACTACTGAGTGATGTCATTCAGAGAACTCAAGGAACTAACACTCTTTAGGGTGTTAGAATGTGGCCCACCATCCAGCAATCCCTCTACTGGGTATTTACCCCGAAGACTTAAAAACTCATATCCGAAAAGATGCTTGCACAAAAGATGTTCATAGCAGCATTATTCACAGTGGCCAGGACATTGAAGCAACTGAGATGTCCTATGATAGGTGATTGGGTAAAAAAAACTATGGTACATAAATACAATGGAATATTACTCAGCCATAAGAAGAGATGAAATACTGCCATTTGCGACAACATGGATGGACCTCGAGATAATCATGCTAAGCGAAGTAAGCCAGACAGAAAAAGTTGAAAATCACATGATATCACTTATATGGGGGATATCAACCTAAAAGCAACAAATGAACAGGACAAGCAAACAGAGACTCATGGACATGGACAATAGACTAGTGGTTACCAGAGGGGAGGGAGGAGGGAGGTAGTTGAGGTAAAAGGGGTCAAATATGTGGTGACAAAAAGAAATCTAACTATGGGAGGTGAACACACAATGTAAGTATATATATGCCTTACTGTTAAAATGTATAGCTGAAACTTACCAGTTTTTGGTAACCAATGTCACCATAAAGTAATTAATCAATTAATTAATTTTAAAAAATTGTGGCCCACCAAAATCCTGAAAAAGTCTCTGATGCTTCAGTGTTAACTTTCAAATCCATGTAAATGTTGCGTTCTATTCTATAACAACTGTTTGTTTTAGCATAAAAATGTTCTAAAGTAATTGTCATATATTAAACTTGACACACTAGTTTTTTCCTGTGGCTTCAAAGTCCCCCATCCCCCCTCTACACATACACACTCTTAGGGTATGAATCCTCTAATTTAAGAAGCACCATCAGAGGAATAAGTGATAAGACACAGAATCTGGTTGTAGAAGACTAAAGAGCAAGCTAATAAGTTTAGACTTCATTCTGTAAGCAATTTGCATGCCACTGAAATGTTTTTGAACAGAGGAGTGAAATTGCAAAAGCAATGTCTTGAAAATATTATGCTGGAAGCAATACGAAACATGGCTTGGAGGAGAGAGAGAGACCAAAAGCAAGCCAGGTTTTACAGGAAACCAAATAATGCAATAGAGACTTCTACCTTGAGTGGCAATAGAGAGGGAGAAGATGGAGATAGTTAACACTAGGCCATAAACCCAGATCCTGTCCCTCTATTGTCAAGGTTTAGATTGAGATTAACACTCCCAATGTAAGACCCTTGTCTTTGTCCCAAAAGTTAGAAGTTAGCCCTATGTGGACCACCTCTGCATTTATTAAACAGCTTATATGATGCCATTTATTGAATTAACTCAAAGCCCTTCTTTATAAACTTTCAAAACTTGAGGATGGGGAGGAAAAAAATTCTAATAATGTACAAATACAGTTTCAATAGCTTGACAGTGAGTATATTTATGTATTCCTCTTTGCCTTTACTGCTAGTAATCTCAGAGCTAAATGTTTGCATTCATTTAGTTTTTCATCGACCAGCAGTTTTTGATATTTTTTTCTGTTCTTATTACTTCTTGCTAATTTTAAGTACATGTCCTAGTAAAGTCAAAGACTACCTGGATTCAGATCCCTACTCCACTATTAACTAGTTGGGTGACCTTGGCAGGTTGTTTAAACTCTCTGAGCCTCAGTTTTCTCAGTTATAAAAAAGAGAGAACAACAAGACCTATTCTATAGGATTCTTGTGAGATAAATAGGATCATCTTGGTAATATAAAGAGATTAGCACCTTGCATGCCATATTATAAAAGCTTTAAAAAGGTTAGCTATTACTAATATTAACAGGGTTTAGTTTCAGTGTCCCTATGCTTTTAAGTTTCCTTAAGTCACCTTTAGAAATAGCTGTAATATAAATCTAACAATAAATAAATAAAATCTAATAATAAATAAAGTTGGGTCCCGACTAACTGTGAGTCAAATTTTGAGATTTAGGCCTTTGGCAATTGAAGAGCAGAAATATGGAGGTCAGGAGTGATAATGCATTTTGAGGAAGAATATGAATATTCTGTGTTTAAGATTTGTAAAGTTATGCAGTTTGAGGGGGGTACACATTAGTGTATTTGCTGGGGGGAGGCAGTCATTTATGTTACAGGCCTGGCCTAGAACCTCTCAAAGGCATCTTATTCCAGGGTGTAGCCTAGCCTAGGCATTCATTCATTCATTCAATAAATATTAACTGAGCACGAGTCCAGAAGCTAAATTATCTTAGTAAACTCAGAAAGTGTGAGGCTCACTACAAATGCATGATCACTAAATATATATTTGCCAGTGGATGTGCATTTATTATAAAGGACCAATTTCTAGTGAGCATAAGCTAATTTCTCACTATTTGGGAAGCCTATGTGAATTGGAAGATTGCTTGGTAAGCATACACCCAGAACAAGGAAAACATAGAGTGAGACATATGACCTAGATACTGGGAAAGTCCTATGAAATACACTTGTCCTAGAAGAGAAAACACCTTTCTAGAGACCAGTTGCTCCTATCCCCAAGACCCCTTGTGTCTGTCCCTGGAACAGTACAAGATGTACCAAATAATACTCGTTTCTCTGAATCTTAGTTTCTGCAATTACTATGTCCAGTATATATCTAGATATACTACTTTTGCTCATTAAGCCACACTCTAATGAGCATGGGATATATTCTGTTTTCTCACATAATAGCCCAAATTAATCAAACTGAATTTTCAGGCTTTCACTGCCTCCATGAGTTATGCAGTGGTGTTTGAAAATGGAGGACTAGAGTTCAAGAAAGAGGTAGGAGCTGGATATACAGATTTAATCACCCCTGAGTAAAAGAATTAAACCACTGGTAAGTGGTAAAATTTCTGAAGATGTTGCTACCTTAGTCACTGATGTGCTAGAGGTAACATGGTACCTACAAAGAGTGGAATATTATTCAGCCTTAAAATGAAAGGAAATTCTGACACTACAACGTGGATGAACTTGAGGACATTATATTATTAATCAGGGTTCTCCAGAGAAAGAGAACCAACAAGAGATATCTCTATATCTATATCTACATCTTTATCTATATCTATATCTATATCTATATCTACACAGAGAAATTTATTTTAAGAAATTGGCTCATATAATTATGGGGGCTTGGTGAGTCCAGAATCTGATGGGGCAGACTGGCATGCTGGAGACTCAAGGAAGAGTTGCAGTTCAAGTATAAAAGCTGTCTACTGACAGAATCTCCTCTTGCTCTGGGGAGATCAGTCTTTGTTCTGTTAAGGCCTTCATCTGATTGGATGAGGCCCCTCAAATTATGGAGAACAATCTGCTTGCTCTACTCAAAGTCCACTGAATTAAATGTTAATCTCATTCAAAAACATCCTCACAGAAACAGCTATAATAATGTTTGACCAAATATCTGGGTATCATGGCCCACCCAAGTTGACACATAAAATTAACTATCACCCCTGAGTAATACCTATAGGCATTTATTAAGCACTTATTATAAACTAAGTATATGGCGTTATTTTATCTAATTCTGTAAATCCTATAAAGTAAGTTTATTCTAGTTTTTAAATGTGAGGAAACCAAATTTCAGAGATTTTATCCAAAAAGTTTATAAAATTTAGAAGCAATCAAAACCATCCTGATCATTGCTAGAAGTAAAATTAGTCAATTTGACCAAAGTGGGAACTAGTTCTCTGGTCTTTTCACATCTTTCAAAGTTCTCAGAATCAAGTTCTAATAGCCTAAATGTTTCATGACTTTGGGGACAAAAACTATTGCCTTCTTACTTCATGCCAGACAAAATGCTAAGCACTTTATATTATCTCCTTTAATCCTTATAGTAATGTTGAAAGATTAAGTAAATCCATCAGAACTGGGTTTGGCAGTGACAGAAAATTTAACAGTGCATAAAAGAGATAAAAATTTCTCTCTACCCCACCCCCCAGATAAATAAAATCTGAAGGTAAGCTATCCAAACTGGTAAACAGCTCTACTCTCATTACTGTTCTAGATTCTATCTTTTTGCTCTGACATCTTCAATACATCGCTTCATCCTTATGGTCCAAGACAGATGTTTAGTTCCGCCATCCCGTGTGCATCCTATTCACCAGGAAGAGAGGCAGGACCACAGTGGACAAGCCCCTCCTCTTTAAGGACACTTCCTGGACATTGCACATGCCACTTTTCCTCACGCCCACTTGGTCAGAACTTAGCTATATGGCCAGGCCTACTTGCAAGGGAGGATGGGAAACATTTTTTATTCTAGGCAAACAAATGCACAGTTGGAAAAAAAGGAGCAAATGGATATTGGAGGACAATACCACAGGCAGTATTATAAATATCATTTTGTAGATGAAAAATCAGGCACAAGGAAATGAAGCACAAAGCTCTAACGTAGTATAAAGAACTAGCCAGTAATAACTGTTAGCGGTAGAGGGAGCAAGGATTCAAATTTAAGTTTTAAATGATTTTTTAAAATAAATTATAATGAACTCAAAGTTATTTCAACAAAAATGTCACTCCATGACAATCGGGTGTGCTTTCTTGAGTGAGAGAGATAGGGTTGGAGTTATTGCTGCTCCACTGTATGTAACCCGGAGCCTACCTTTTCATGCTCTAAACTTAAATCTGAATGTACCCACAGAAGTGTGTCAGGTATGTGAATTTCATACAACCTGTGTAGAGATGGGGAAAAAAGATTGAAAACTGGTTATTGTGTGGTTCTACCACCCTATTCCTCCCTTTTGTCATTTGAAAATTTACCTGAAGTTTAAAAGAAATGCTCCCAGAGCTGTCGCTGTCACTCGGGTTTATTCTGAATCCCCCAAACTGGGATGGGAGCCATCTTGTCTTAGGATGAGAAAAGAAGTTTTATTGACAAATATATATGCTGATAGCCAACAATCCCCTAGGGAGATAAAGGACTAGAAACATACTGTATCTTCCAAAATCAAAACTGCCTCCTTGGGCTTAATCCAAAGTAGCCCATCCAGTTGGACAAAAGGTGGGAGTGAAGCACTGACATCTAGATAAACAACTGGAAAAGGCTTTAGCCCCAGTTCTAAATGTTCATAGTGACTCAGGAGCAACTTTTTTTTGGACAGGCTCAGTTTCTTCAGAGGGACTTTTAGAATTTGGTACTTGTGACCCTGTTGACGTTGTATGTAAATCGCCTACTATAAGTGGAGTATTTTTCACCCTCGCATTGTGCCAGCTGCGCAATGAATTTAGAGGGCCTTGGAGCCAATTCCAGACTTTGTTTTTCTGACTGTCATCATCATCTCTTTCCCGTCTGACAGTTTTAAATAGTCGCTTCTTTCTTTCTGAGGCTTTCATGCCAGAGACTTTGAAGAGGTTAATGCTCAGCCGGCTCATCCTGGAAGTAGGGATAGGCCCAGCGTTAACATATTTGTCAATATTTTTCAGGGTAGTATTGACCAAAGACTGGATAGATTCCACAGGATCATTCCTCATACTTTCAAGAGCTGAAACCAGAAAGGAGGTCAACTCAGATTCTCAATCTCCAAGGACTGTCTACCCAAACCCCATTATTTCCCATCCCACATGTCAGGTTATAACATAACTTTATTTAGAATACTTTTTGTCACTGTAAAAGTAATATTGTCTTATTGTAGAAAAATGTTTAAATACAAATCGTTTTTTTAAAAGAAAGGAAGAAAAATCACTCACCCCCCAAAGGTGTTAATATTTTCATACTTATCCTTGCAGTATTGTTTGAATACCAAATATAAACACATTTTTTAACAAAAATAGGATTAACATTTTTTTCTTATAAGATATTCCTCCATACAACGTAATACCCAATCATACGATTCTACCATAATTTCTTTGATGAATCTCCTATTGTGAATAGTTAGGTTGTTTGCAATTTTTTACTTTTATAAACAATAACCATTAATTCACTCAACAATTATTTATTGAGACTTACTCTTATCAGGCACTGTACTATGTGCTGGGGATACAGTGGTGAATAAGACAGATTCCCCACAGTGAAGAACTTAACCTTCTAGTGCAGGAAAGACCAAATGAACCAGTAAGTATAAATTAAGTACAAACAAGGAAATGTAATGGAGTAATAAGAGTGAGTAACTGGGAAGGACTCTTTAGCTAGGTCAGTCAGAAAATGCCTCTTTAAAATGACATTAGAGCTAAAATCCAAAGAACAAGAGCCAGCTTCCGAGCCAGCCCCATGAAGAACAAGAGCAGAACTCCCAGTGGGAGGCAGGGATCTATTCTCAATGCAGAAAGTAGCCAGCATGGCTGCCCCTTCTGGAGAAAGGGAAATGATGCAGGCCAAGGGTAGAGAGAAGTCAAAAGCCATATCTGTCAAGGCCTCATGGCTGAGGGTAAGGGACCAGACTTTGACCCAAAGAGCAGTAGAAAGCCACTGAAGGGTTTTAAGTAAGGGGGTGACATGATCCAGTGTACATGTTTCAAAGATAATCTGGCTGCTGCATGGAGAGTAGTACAGAAAGAAGAGAGTGTTGGGGGTTGTTAAAGTGGTCCAGTTAGGAAATGGAGGTGGGGGGAACATAGCTTAGATTCAGGTGGGAATAGAGGGGAAGGAGAGAGGAAATGGCTTAATGTAAAGGATAAAGAGGACAGGAAGAATCTAGGCTCAACGAAACTAAAAGGACCTCAAGCTCATCAAAGTCTACAGCTTCATGTTGATCTCGTTTATATTTAGAACAGAAAAAAAGAGCTAGGCTTAAGCTGAGAAAAGATAGAATCCTTTAAAGAACCCCTTCTTGACCACAAGGATTGTTAGGTAGTAGCTATGGTCGGAAGAACAGTTAGAATTATTTTCCTTGGGAAAAAGTTCTTCCTGTCTAGGTGATATAGGCAGTCTTTCTTGGAGACTGGGTGGGATGAGGAAGGCGAGGTGGGTTCTCTGGTATACTGAGGAGTCTAGGATTTCCATTCTGGATAGACTTTCTCTGAAATTTCTCTAGTGGTGGCCAGAAAAGGAGTCTGTTACACAGTCAAGACTTTAGTTGTAAAATCGAGAAGACAGCAGAAGTACAAAATATCAGGGTCAGAACTGAAGCCAGGGTTTGAGCTCTCAGGGGACAGATGCTGCTACCTTAGTCATTAATATGCTAGAGGTAGCTTGGCTATTCTCTGTGAAGCAACAAATCATTTTTTCTTGTGCATAGCTAAAAGTATACTCCTTACCTGCCACTCTCAATACCATATGCCGCCCTAGCCCAGAAGCCTAAATCAATTCGGCACAGATGTTTTATGGGACCTCTATGTGTCCAGCAAAGCTCAGTGATTTCCATGCTTTGTATTCAGTACTTAAAACTATTTAAGATCAGCACTATTATCCTCATGATGCAGATGGAGAAACTGAAGCACAGAGACACAGTAACTTGCCCAACTTCACATGATTCATTATCAAGAGATCTAGTATTTGAAACTGGTCTGTCTGAGGCTGGAGCTTATGTTTTTCATTATACTACTGACTTTGAGGAACAAAAGGACACTTAAAGGTCATTTATCACTTTACTCTCTAGATAAAGAGCTGTGAATAAACCATAAAGTAAACAAAGACTTGTCCACCTCCAGTTATCTACTAGGCATTTCCTCTGAGGTATGATTTCACTATTACCTCAAAAGCAGCAAATCCAAAATACTACCTCGAAGAGGCACCTAGAAACTCTAATTGGGCTCAGGCTAGAAGGCAAACCCCTGAGGACAGGTGTCTGCAACAGTAGAACAGCAACAACAGCAAACCCGTGGCATCATGTCAGGACATTCATATATACTCATAACACTCTTAAATGCAAAAGGGCTGAGACATAGGAGCTATAAAAGCAAACATTCTCTTCATGTGGTCTCTACATCAAAGGAAGGAAACTGGCATGGAAAATAAGAAGGAATAAATAATTCAAAAGTCATTTCCATTTGCTACTAGAATGAATTGAACTATCCATCACCTATCACAAGCACCCTAAATCTCTTGCAGCCCCCTTCAACTGTGTTTAATGGCACACACCCCCCCACCACCACCACCACTCAAAGTAAAATCCTAAATCTCTACCATGGCTAAAAGCCAGCATGATTCTGGCCCCACTGCTGTTCTCTGATCTCATCTCCTCCTGCCTGTCCTTTTGCTCACTCCATGCCTATTGCATTGACTTTCTTGTTCTTCTTTGAACATGCCAAGTGCTCTTCCCTCAGATAGTCACATGATTCATTCTCTCATTTCCTGCAGTCTCTGCTTAAATGCTCCTACTCAGAGGGGCACCCGACCCGCCCTCTGACCCTTCGTACCCCCTTGCCTTGCTTCACTTTCTCCAGGCTGCTTATCTAACATTTGTGTACTTGTCTAGACTTATTCCTCCTTCCCCACTAGAACATAAGCTGCATGAGGGCAGGGTTATCACTCTTGTTCACTACAGTATCCCAGTGCTTAGAAGAGTACATGGTATACGGTAGGTGTCAATAATTAAGAAACTAATTTAACTATGGCAAGAAAGCTACCTAGAGTC